GGAATGTAGAAATGTAGTGGAAAGCTAACACCAAAACCAGCTAATTCCAGAGTTTTTAATTGCTGGCTTACTCTGTCATCTTCCTGTTCAAGGTCATTTATAGCTAGATGGCTGTGAATCCCAGGGTACAGGGAATACTAATTCTCATGTAATGATAAAAGATTCCCCCCTTTCCCCACAAACCCTTTGAGATAGTGTAGTTTTTAAAATCAGACAGGATGATGCTAGAAATAAAGCAGTACCGGTAGTGGAGATTCCTCTGTGTGCTAAACTGACGGGTGAATTGGGAATGAGTCTGTCTACCAAAACCACCATTTTGAGCAACATTTTTCCCTCTGACTAAAAGGTGTTACAACAGAAGCAAAAAAAGTAGAAAAGTTTTTGGAACCTTTGCAACAGAAGAGCAAGTGTTTGTGGTGTGTCGAATCTGCCTGGCATGATTTACTGTTGGAAAATTCTTCTTCCTTTTACTTACATTTATGGCTTCTTTATCTTCTAAATATGAAATAAATCTCTGATGTCCTTCATTTGTTGCTTTGGTATGGTGGGAAAGAAGAGGAGAGAAAAGAATGAAAAGTGTGTTGGAGTGAGCTAAGAAAACCAGCATTTGGGCAGCATTTATATGTTTACGTAATCAATGGCAAGATCCACTGAGACTTCTGGAAAAGTAAGAGACTGTTCTTTATTTTGTACTGCTTATGCACAAGCATCTTTGAGGAGTATGTTTGCATGCTTCAGTATATAATTTGTGAATGGGAGTTTTGTTTTGTTTTGGATGAAGTTTTCCTTTATGTTTTATTCCCTTAGAGGATCCAAAAACCATCGCTGCTTTAATTACTTAGGGGAAGGTGTCCTCTCCATTCTTCTCCTTCCCCATGACTTCCTTGTGATTTCTTGCTGCAGATTGAAAAATGCGCTGCCCCAAATTGGATGTGGTACATAGAGCTCTTTCAGAAATCTGCATAGAAAGCAGCCGTTTGTCAGTATTGCTTGCTACTTCCAGAAAATGCATTTCCTAACTTTCTTTTCATCAGTTATTGTGGAGCATGTTTGTGATCTGCAGAGGAAAAATACTGTGTGCAAGTAGATCAGATGAGGAAAAAATTGACAGAGAAAACCAGCTTCCTATAGATACTGGATTTGAAAATGGAATAGTAGTGCCATGTTCTTCCGGGTCTCCATTGCAAAAGACAAAGTTGTTGGGATGTGAAGGATGGAGATGCCCAACTTGGGTAATTGAAGTTCTTAAGTCCCTTACACTGTTCACCTCCTTTTTATTTATTTTTTTTTTTGATGGCTCAATATTCCTATTAAAGCAGTGTTTTAACTCCATAACCTGATTTGAACTTTGTTTTTTTGGTCATAACAAAGGGAGGATGGTCATTAATCTCCTTAAACCTGATGAGGATCCCAAAACTGGGGCATTAGACCTCCCATAAACAAAGTTTAAACTCCCATGAGGCAGCTCTTGGAACGCTTGCCATTTCTTTGAACCATGTCTGTTTTAACATGTTTCTGTGTGTTTAGGGGTGTTTTAAAAGCCTTCTTCCCAAAGAGAGGCCACATGAGACACAGAGGCAAATATCTAGTTTTCTGAAATCCTTGGGAACTGGTTCCAGTGCAGTCATTATAATCTAGCGATTAGCAAGCTAAGCAGAAAGAACTTCAACTCTAGCTTGAATTTTGATGTGAGCCCTTCTGAAGCTCAGAATTGAGTAGGAAGCAAGCACTCACTCAGGGTTCAAGCTCTGCTCTTCTCAAAACATGCCTCACCAATAAATCTAGTTATCATTGTGTTGCAGTGAATCTCACAAACAATGCACTTGGCTGCCTGGTCCACCCACGCTAAGTGAGAGAATATGTACGTTTTAATTATTAGATTATTTCAGTTTACACAAACACTGTTTCATATTAAATATTTTTACAAGCCAATGACATCTGTATTCCATACTGAGTGGATGATATTTGTTCCCGGCCTATTAATGCCTGTAATTAATATCTTTAAAACACATTGATGATGTCATGCCAGTCTCCCTGAAGTAAGGTCACTGTGGGAGTGGGATATTCTTTCTGCTGTCATTCCTTGGCTCACATTTTCATAATCTATATATAATTTCTGCTGAGTAAAGTTTTCAAGGTGAAATTATATAGATTTCTTGAATTTTTAAAATGAAGCTGGGGAGGAAGGCTTCATGCTACTCTGTTTCTTATACGACTTAGGCTCCATATGTTTCATTGCAAATTTTATAAACTTCTTTGAAGTGACATAACTTTGTATATGTTCTGGAAGCAGTCTGGAAACTGTGGTTTTTGCTCTGTAGATGAATGCTCAGAAGCTCGCAAGTGCATGTGATAAAGTAACTCCCTGTCTGAGGTGTTTGGGTGTGGGCACAGGGTGGGACTCTCTGCTTTGCACTGTTTTGCAGTTGCTTCCTGAACAGACTTAGGACTACCATGAGCCATGCTCTGTGGTTTGAGGCTAGCAGAGGTTGCGGGGTTGGCTTGTCCCAAGGACCAACCTTACGCAATGGACAGGCTGCAGGCAGGGAGGGAGCAGAGTTCAAGAGTTAAGTGGCAGGGAGCCAGGTTGTATCACTTTTCTTCTGGTGTTTGTAGACCCTGGAAAGTCCTACAGGTGCAGCCCAAATTAGGACAGACCTCTCTGTTCTGGTCTGTGCTAGTGCTGGCTGTGCTGGCCTGTGGGGTGGCTGTCACCACTTCCCAGGAGCTTCCCGCTTTCCTTCCAGTTTCACTGCTGATGGGGAGCTGAGAAACCACCACCAGCTTCAGTTTGTATCTGTTTCTGAAAGTGTTGGCACTGGGCAGTGTATGGTCTCTTAGATATCTGGCCTTTTCTGCTCACTTTTGCATGGTGAGATGACAAGGAGTGGGGGGCATTCAGCTGTGCAAATACACTGACTGGCAAGGTACACATTGTCCTGCTCTATTCTTTGGGTTTCTCTTGTGTGGAGACATCTGTGGGGCTGGAATCTAGGCAAGAGGGCAGGAAGATGATGTGCCAAGCTAGGGCCCTTATGGGGTTATGCTCACACTTCCAACATATCCAGCAGTGGTACTGGGAATGCCAACTGCCTGCAGTGCAGGTAGCATTCTGTGAGAGAGGAATAAGATGCCATTAAAAACTGGGATGCTACTTGTTCTGAACAAGTAGGTGTCAGGGAAGTTTGTTCTGCTGGATGCTAGTCACCTCACAGACAGCAGAGCATAGCAGTGTGTTTCTTCCTGTACGTCAGAGTTGAATTACCCAAGTCTTTGTTTCTGTGAGGGGTGAGGTAATAGTTTAAGCTCTAGGAAGAAGTTTATGGATTCTCATCTTTGCTCTGGACAAGCTTCCTTCTGGCTTTAGGCAAACTGTGCATTTGGAATTATAAAACAGCAAGTATTTCATTACTGTTATTGGTGATACCTGACTAGGTAGGTGGGAGCAGCCTGAAGAACGTATGAGGAACACTGTTGCTCCTCTTCAGACCATGCAGCAGGTACCAAGGTTTTTCAAGCAAGAAGGTTTGCTCTCCCCTGCTGTGGACCTCTGTATTTGGTTACAAATGCCATCTTTGCCTTAGCGTGGGCAGAGCTGCTGTACATCTGTTTTTCCCTTTTCCCAGGCTCCCTTCCAAGCAAGTTCCTATCCAAACTTTTGAATCCCATAGCAAGAAGTGAACCTTCAGTCCTGTGGAGAAAGGAGGTGGCAGGCGCAATCCTCTTTTGTGGTTTGTGAGAGAGGGGAAGGGCTGATGGCCATTGGGAGTGCAAAGCTGTGGTGTAGGGCCATGGGTAATTGAAGCAGACACCAGACCCAGCCACCTGTGCTGATCAGAGCTCTGGGGGTCAGGGTCAGGAGGAGATGACCAGGACCTGATAGGAGTAGCTGTTAGTTTGACTCTGCAAGTTTCTTTTGCTGCTCTCTAATATGGTAAGGCCATGACTATTTAATGTGCTTCTGAGAGGGAACACTGAGTGAGAGAGGCCTGTGTGGAAGAGTTTGGGAGGAAGGGGGGAATGTAAGGAGAAATTCTGATAGAAGAAAACTTCCCCTTGAGCTCTAGGATGAGAGAATTTGGAGAGATCAGAGGTGAGGAGGGTTGGAAAGGTAAAAGAAACTGTGGTCCGGGTGGGGTTGGAGAGGTAAAAGAAACTGTGGTCCAGGTGGAGTGGGCTAGGAGACTGTGGCATGGCAACTTCAGTCCACCTCCTCATCAGCTGACTAGACCTTCATCTCAGACCAGAGCTTTCCTCATTCCCCTTTAAACATTCTGAAATGTGGCAGCCATGAATATGTGCTGTAAAAAGCAATGTTTGTAGAGCACGTTGAATCTAAAGGGCTATGTAACTGCTAATCTTAATAAACATCATTCATTAATGGTAACTTAACACCAGAAAGACAGCAAGAATTTTGTAGTCATTCTTTCTAACACATGCTGCTCAGACCACC